CACACCTCCTCAAAGTTGCAAAATTTGCCAGGTTACTGTTTGACATGCCTGCCTATCTAGACTTATAATTTACCTTGTTCTTAACACATTTTAACAATTTTTTGTTATTAGATCTTCATGTCCTGAGCTTTTAAACGCATATTTTTCAAACTTTTAATTTAGCTTGTTCTCAACAGAACCTGACAGTTCTTTATTCATTCAATTTGCCATGCCTCAGCTTTTGAAAACATACTTATTATTTTAATTCTATTAAAAAACCACACAAATGCAATAAAAATAAAACTTCAAACAAACATTAAAAAAAAACGAGGTCTCAAATTTTTTCAAAAAATTATATTTCTTGTAGAATTCATTGCTGTACAAAATATCAAAATTTGGAGATGGCGATTTTTCGGTGTCAAGAACTACGAGCCGGAATGGAACATAAACCTGAAAAAAACCGACACTATTTTAACAGTAATCTTATATATTTTACTCTGGCGGAACCATCAGGAGCCGCTTCTGAAAACCGCGACGGGCAGCTACATATATCTGGTATGCTTTAAACGTTGAAAGTTATTACCAAAGTTGTACTTTCTTTTAACAGTATTATTAAATTAGTGTTCCGCAGAGTTGTAAGAAGCAGCCTTCAGTCCAGCGTTTGATGCTCCTCGTGTCTAATTCTGTCAAAACTGCGTGGCTAGTATAGGTTTTGGCGTCACAAATAAGTCTAAGAAATCTCTGCTTTATTTGGGTAGCTGTCAAATTGAGAGTTTTCTTGAAGCTCTCTAAGTTTCTGAGGAACTACAGCACATAATTTCGAAGGAGAATAACAAGTTGAATTTCTCTTCACTTGCGTAATCAAAACTTTAAGGAGTACGAAACGGAGACAATTTCAAAAGCTCAAAAACCACGAAAGACAAGAATTAGAAAACGCTGAAGTGAAGAATATCTGTTACAACTCTGCGGAATAATAGTTTTTTAATATTATTGAAGTAAAGCACAACTTTGGTAACAAACTTCCAACGTTCAAAGCATATCGTATATTTGTAGCTGCCCGCCGTGGCCTTCGAAAGCGGCTCCTGATGGTTCCGCCATTGTAAAATATATGGAGTTACTGTAGAAATAGTGGGTTTTTTTCAGGTTTACATTCCATTCCGGCTCGTAGCTCTTGACACCGAAAAATCGCCATTTTCAAATTTTGATACGTAGAACAAAAAATTCTTTATATATATATTTGTGTATAAACGTGCCATTTACTTTAGAGATTATATTGATCGCTACGGATCTCGTTTGTCCGCTAAAAACCTCCTTCATATTAGGCAGCTATCATCATTGGTCATGTCTTTAAACTGCCTCATGGAGAACTTCAAGAAAAGAAATTCAAACGTTATTCTTACCTTACAAAGTTTTTTAGTTGAGGTGTCATTGCTGTGCTTTTATTACAGTCGTTAAATTTGATTTAACCGTATTCATAAAGTTATTGTTACTACTTGTTCCTAATAATGAATTTAAAATTTTTTAAGCTTAACTCTTCGGAGATTAATTTTTTCGATATTCTTTCTTATATGGCAAAGACTCGACTCTGTAAAAAATTGCATGGGTATTTTTTGTTTTATAAAAGAAGGACGCTTAAAATGTCACAAGGTTTTCAAAAACAAATGACGGGAATCGAAAAAATTTTACAGAAAAATGGTAAAGTTCATGTGGCCTTTAACCTTTTTCCCCACC